GGCAGCTCCAGAAGCTCATCGATATCTCCATCGGCAGCCTGCGCGGGCTGCGCACCAAGTGCGCGGTGTCCAACGACCTCACCCAGCAGGAGATCCGGACCCTGGAGGTGAGGCGGTCGGCGGCGCGGGAGGGTCGGGCACCGGGGCTGGGCCCGAGGAGGGAGGGGTCGGCGGCCCGGGGAGCGGCCCCTAGTACCCCCCTCCGCGCTAATGTTCGCCCCTTTCCTAGTTGCATCCTTGCGCCCCGGTTGCCCTGTTGGAGGCTTCCCCCCTCCTCTATTCGGTGATGCGGCAGGTTGAGGACCCGGGACCAGCCCCTCACCTTGGGCGGGCGTTGGGGGGAGGGGCGGGGTGGGAACTGGGATGGAGGCTCGGGGAGCCGGTGGGCGGGGTGGGCTGCGCTCCCACAGCCCCTGCCTCTCCATCTCCGCCCCCCACCCCATTTCTAGCTTGTCGGTCCGCAGGAGTCGTGCTCCCACTGAGTCACACGCTGGACTTTTCCCTGTGTGACTGAGCCGTGGGCCGGGGTGACGGGGCGGGGGGAGGTCCCCCTGAGGTGTGAGCGGAGCCCCGTGGTTCTCTGCTTTCGCTCACGCCCCCGGCTGTCTTGCCCCTTCCTTCCCTCTCCTCCAGGTTCTTGTGTGCCGCCTTTCAAAAAAAGTGTTTGCTGAAACTGCAGTTTTGCTCTTCAGGCATTTGGTACTTTCCTTTCGCACTGCCACAGCGTTCCACTGCTCGAGATGTAATTACCCACCGGCCCCCCCCAGACATTGCATTTCGGTTTAGGAAGGATTATGCTGGGGAACAAGCCTTTGGTGAGAAGGTGACACTATTTAAAGGCTTCTGGTGGAGACAGCTTCCAGTGTAAAGAAGAAATAAGAGATGCTGCCCTCCTCTCTCAGATTATAGCTGGGAAGTGCAATATTAAAAAGATTTGGAAGAAGCAGCCAAAAGAGTTGTTAGGTTCTCAGAAGGGGGAGTCTCCCCCTCCCCCATACACAATAGAGGGAAATTGGTGTATTCCCAACTTGCTTTTGTCCAGAGGCTGGGAACGCTGTGGAATCCAGAGACCAGTTAATAACTAACTCTGACTTGAAGAAGGGGCTCCACCTTGCATTGCACATCTGGTCTTCTGCAGATCTGGGGATGTTTTGTTTTATTAGAATCTTAATTTCTCATCCCTCCTCCCCTCCCTTTATTACTCATTGCCTCTGCCAGCTGTCATAGGGCCAGCGGTGATTTGTAATTATTACAAAGACCCAATCCTCTGTGCACACCATAAACCTGAATCCCTGTTTGATCCAGAATGCTCAGGGGTGACTCCTCTCCAGTTTTATTTTCTTAAAAGCTATAAAACCAGGGACACTGGAAACATGCAATCAGTGCTGGCTATTATAACTTTTGTTACAGTTGCTATAGCAGTACTGACCAGGGTTTTGCTTAAAAAACAAAGCAACCAACAACATTCTGCACAGCTGTCCCTTCTGCAGGCATGCTGCTGTTTTCCAAGTGGCAAGAGATGCTGGTTTCTTGAACACAGCCGAGTGTGTTTTTTGCCCAGCGAAGTTCAGTTTTTAAACCGACACAATAAGGCGGCTATGTGGCTTAGTTCCGGGAGGGGAGGGGTCCTTGTCCAGCAGCCTGTGTCTGGTTGGACTGCTGTGTCTTTCGGGTGAGAGAGTGTTCTCTGTGCTAGCCTCTCTCGGATTGTCCCCATGTCGCTCTGAAGTGCTCCTGGTTCTCAGAGTGGATACAGGAGAACCATTTGCTGTTTGTTCTCTGGAAATGGTGCTTTGCCCTCATGGTACCCTGACTTTACTCATTTTAACCAAGGTGTGGCATCCCGACACCCCAGAGCATCCAGCTGTTTGGGTTTCTGAGCTGGTTTATTCAGTGGCCTTCCTCCTGAGTGTTTATTGGTTTATTGATCCAACTAGGCAGCCAGAAACCCATCCCAAGCCCAAAAGGGATTTGCAGGGTAAACTGGAACCAATACCCAGCTCCCTTTCTTCTCCGTTGTCTTGTGGATTTGGGTCCACCCTACTCCATGGAAAGGCTGGACCGTGGTGGTTTTGGGGGATGGGGCTTTAGACCGGAGGAGCTAAGTTTGGTCAAACCACTTCACCCCAGAGGCCTCACCCTCCTCACTTGAACAGGGAGGCCAGAGGGCATCTCTGCGGACTCCTGTGGTTTAGTGAAGGGGCCTCAATTGGGTTGAATCAATGGTTGTTATACACACCCCTGTTTAAGAATATTCCTGTTTAATAAACAAAAGACCAAACTCATAGATACAGACAATGGAATGG